GTTTATTTCACCATCTATTCTGAGTGATAGCCTTGTTGGATATAGTAATCTTGGTTTCAGATCCTTGCTTTCTAATTACCTTGAATACTTCATGTCATTCCCTTTTGTCCTGCAGAGTTGTTTTTTGTTTGTTTGTTTTGTTTTCTTTTTATGAAGAATCGGCTGACAGCCATATGGGAGCTCCTTTTAAAGTAACAAATTCCTTTTCTCTTACTGCCTTTACGAGTCTCCAGTTTTCTTTAATGTTTGGCATTTTAATTATGATGTGTCTAGTCATGGGCCTATTTCAGCTCTTCCTGCTTGGGATTCTCTGTGCCTCCAGAGTTTGTATGTCTTTTTCTTTCACCATGTTAGGGAAGTTTTCTGTCATAATTATTTTTTAAAATAGGTTCTCTATCCCTTCCTCATTTTATTCACCTCTGGCACTCCTATTATGAGAATATTGTTATGTTTCATGTTGTTCCATGGCCCCCTTAAGCTGTCCTCCTGTTTTTAAATTGTGGGTTTTTTTTCTTTTTGGTTCTCTGATTGAGTGATTTTTTTCTTTTTTTAAAAAATATATTTTATTGATTTTTTACATAGAGAAAGGGAGAGGAATAGAGATTTAGAAACATTGATGAGAGAGAAACATTGACCAGCTGCCTCCTGCACACCTCCTACTGGGGATGTGCCCACAACCAAGGTACATGCCCTTGACTGGAATCGAACCTGGGACCCTTCAGTCAGCAGGCTGACCCTCTATCCACTGAGCCAAACCGGTTTGGTGAGTGATTTTTTTCTGCCTTGTCTTCTAATTCACTGAACCCATCCTTAGCTTCTCCTAATTTGCTGTGTATTCCTTCCAATGTGTTCTTTATTAGTGCTATGTGATTCTTCATTTCCATCTGGTCTTTTTTCTTAGTTACTGTCTTTTCTCATGCTGTTGAACTTCTTTGACATCGTTATTCTGAACTCTATATCTCATAAATATCTTAAATCCATTTCATTTAGTTCTCCTTCTGGAGAATTCTCTTTTATTCATTTGGGGCTTGTTTTTCTGTCTCCCCACTTTGGCTGCCTGTTTGGGTTTGTGTCTATGTGTTAGGCATATCTGCTATGAGTCCAAGTCTCTGGTACAGGACAATGTCAGACGTTGTTTGTGATTAGCCCTCAGTACCATTTGGAGCTATCAGTAATCCAAGCTTGTGGCACCCTCTGCTGGGGCTGGGTGCCTTTGGAAAGAAGCAAGATATGCATCAAGCTTCACTTTTTGTAACCCCAGACCCAGCAGGATATCAATCAAAGACTCAGAACCTCCAGAGACCCACCTATGCCTGCAGTCTCTTTCATATTCTGTCTTGATTAGCCTCAGGCTATTAACCACATAGCGGGATGAGAAGTTTTCCAATAGGGTGGGGCAATTCCTTTCCCCCCAGGGGAAACTTCCTAGATAGTTCTAAAGGTCTGTGGGTGAAAGATGTCCTCTGCATGTGAGGGAATGACTCAGCACAAGAACCCAGGGTGGCTGCCTTCCAAGCTCTAACCCCAGAGCCCTCAATCCTAGATTCTGCTCACACAGCTCTAGTTTAGTTTGTCCTCCCTCTGCCACAGCCCAAGGTGAGTGGCTGCACACAAAATTTTGTGCATTGGCCCTTCAAGAGGGTGCCTGCATTTCCAGCCAGCTCTTTCTTGCAGCCACCAACCCTGCTGCTTTTCACAGCCAGATGTTATGTGGGCACCTGTCTCAGTTCTGGTGCTCTGGGGTGGGGAGCCCAGGTTGGGGTTTTGATCCCAGAGTTCTCAGTGGGAACCTACTCCAACTGATATATCTCTCTAGAATCTCAGCTGCTGTATGTGAAAGTCAAGTCAGCCCTTTCACACCTCTGTACTGCCTACCAGTCTCTATGTGACTACATGTCCTGTCTTGGTTATCATTGTTCTATCCAGCTGGTCTTCATTTGATTATTCAGGCTGTTCTTTTGGTATTTTAGTTGTAATTCTAGTTTGGTTCTGGGAGAGTGTCAGTGTAGCTTCCACTTACTCCACCACCATTTTGGAATCTCTGGAGCTCGCTTTGTATCCTACTCTTTTGATGGCCATGGCTGACTGTTCTTTCTGCCAATTCTGGGCTGCCTATGAGGTACTTAGGTGCTAACCACTATCAGAAACTGTCATCCTTTGGCTTTCAGCAACCTGCTTGAAGCTCCAAGTGATCCACCAATCCATTGTTTCTCTCTGGCTCCACAGGATATGGCTGTAAGAAGGAGGGGCCAATCTGCCTCCTAGAGTATTTTCACCTGCCACTTATGGGCACAGGGCCAGGCCTTTCCATGTCTCTGCTCTTTTTACTAGTGTCTATGTAGCTTCTGTTTCTAGGTTGTTTGTTTATTTTGTTCATTAGATTCCATGTATAAGTGAAACTGTACAGTATTTGTCTTTCTCTAACAGTCTTATTTCACTCAGCATAATACTCTCCAAGGTCCAGCCACGCTGTCACAAAATTTACAATTTCTCTTTTTACAGCCAAGTAGTATTCCATTGTGTAAACATACCACAGCTTTTTTATCTACTTACATAATGATGGGCATTAGGGCTGCCTCCAACTCTTGGCTATTGAAAATAATACTCTAATGAACATAGGGGAGCATATAATCTTTCAAGCTAGTGTTTTGGATTTCTTTGGAAATGGTCCTAGAAGAAAAATTTCTGGGTCATGGCAAAGGATCTGAATAGATACTTCTCCAAAGAGGACAGACAGATGACCAATAGACATATCTGGCTACTTCTATACATCGTTGGTTAAAGACTTCTTTTCTGCTACTATTCAACTGGTTGATCTATAAATTAGTTGTAAATCTGGTTTGGCGCTGGGAGGAGGTAAGTGTAGCTTCCATCTACTCTGCGGACATCTGGGATCCCCTTTACTGATAATATCTTAATTCGAATTTTTTTATATAAATGGCACCAGAAGCTATTAGTCTAGAATTTTCCAAAAGACATTTTCATAAAACACTAAATAAACATTAATAGTTTAAAATCCGTCTTACTTAAAGACATGTTTCAAATATATTTTTGTATTCAAACAGTGAAATTTAGGAATATATCTCTTGAATGTATGTAGCAGGTGTCATGTGACTATTACTTCACATACAGTTCTTGACAATGGGTGCCTTTAATGTATGCTTCCTCATCACTTTTAGAGTATCTTAAATATGTGTGTGTGTTTGCATTTTGTCTTGATACATATAGAAGGCCCAATGAAAGACCAATGAGTGTCATTGTTTACCAAGGAGAAAACCCTGTTCTAAGTCCTCTTATGGTTTCACTTTCAATTTCAGTAGCTTTTGGACCAAGGGGGAGGAAATATCAAGCAGCATACCTCTGGTTGGTGATTTTTGACTTTTTGAACTTTATATTCGTTATACTCACAAATATAAATCATTTGAACCAGAGAGAAAACTGTAGGTTCTTCAAATTTTTGTTCTCCTCCCTTCCTGACATCACCTCTTTATTTAGATTGAATTGGTTCTTTCTTCCTTTCATTTTTCAGATATGTGTGAATAGGAAAAGAGCAAGTCCATTAATGTATTTCGCTTTGTACTTGGCTATTGTTTAATTTGGTTCTTATACCTTTGTTCTCAACTTTTAATGATCATCATCCTCAACTTCAACATATTTATTTTTACACTAGGGGTCCAGTGCACGAATTTGTGCACCTTGAAAGGAACTGTGGGCCAGGAGGCTGCAGTGGGCACAGGGGTGGGTCTCAGCCCATCCTCTATGCCCCCACCAGGTCCCTCCCACCACAGTCCCAGGCCCCTGTCTGCCAGCAACCCCATTCCCATCGCCACCGTTCACACTCACTGATGGTGTGGAGCAATTGGGGCCGGTGCCAGTAGCTGGTGCAAGCAGGGCTAGCGCTGTCAATGGATATGAGTTGCGGCTGTTGCACCAATCACTCCTCAGGAGCAGGGGGAGAAGCCCTCAGGGGTGATCGGGCCATCAGCTGCCACTTGCTCCAAGTGATCCAAGTGATCGGGACTGGCGCCAGACACCAGCAGTGGGTTTGAGCAGTCCTGCCGCTGGCAGTGGGTGTGAGCGGCAGCTCAAACATCAGCAGTGGGTGCAAGCAGAGCTGGCGCTGGCAGCAGGTGTGAGCACCAGGCAGGCCCGCGGTGTGCAGGAGCAAAGAATTTCCAGTAACCCTCAGAGGCTCACCCGGATAACAGCAACCGGTGCCCTGACGTGCTCTGGCACCTCTGCTCACCTGCTCCACCATCCTGCCATGGGCAACACCAGCCATGCTCCACACACACCCCTGGTGGTCAGTGAACCTCATAGCAACCAGTTGTTCGGTTGTTTGGTTGTTCTGGTTTTCCACAGTTGGGTCTATTTGCATATTAGCCTTTTGTTATATAAGATGATTTTGGTTCTTTATCTTTCCAACAGAGGTTTGCTATCTTCATTTGCACTTCAATATCCCCTAGTATTACTTACTTTTTTAGTGTGTCATTTGAATTTATGTAGAAAGATTATCTCAGCAAGTACATGTTATTAACAATGTTGGTGTTTTTAAAGTGTCTGATGTGTAAGTATTGTTTTCAAGTTTCAATGATAAACTTGCTAAATTTTAACATACCCATCTTTTGGTATTAATTTGTCTCATTATCTTATCTTTCCAACCAAAGTTTGCCATTGCAATTTGTTATGCAATTTCTCCCTTTATTATGTCTTAGTTTTATTTTATTGTTTAAGTCTATGTTTGCAGACACTTTCTGTTAAGCAAACTTTACTAATAATATACATAGCATTTCAAATGGCTGGTGTTTGTTTGGTTAAAGATAGATTTCTGCCACTGTTTGTGCATGTTGTACATGTACTCTGTGTGTGTATTTCTTTATCAGAATTATGACAGGTTTAACTTCACACTAGAATTTTTCAATAATTTAATGTTTTCTTTACTGTACTTTTTATGGTACTTACATTGAGCTTTCCATTTTATTTCTCAAAAGGTCTTCAACCCTCCTCTTCTTGGGGTTCGGGCGTGTGGTCCCAGTTCCCATAATGAACGGAGACAGAGGGAGAGAGCCCCGGCCCCCTGGGCGTCATGCCTTCCATGCTGACGATTTCCAGTCCACCGGTTCTATCCCCAAGCGCCAGGACATGGGTAAAAAAAAATCTTCAGAAACAATTTAGTAAAATTTCTCTGACAATCTTTTACTCCATTGTCTCTTTCAATGACTGCTTTCTTGGTGCCTCTATCATTCCCTGTTTTTTAAAAACTATACATTGGATTGCCCTTCTCCAGGATGTTGATTCTACCTTTTCCTAATCTATTGGTTACAAACTTGTCCCATACGAAGTTCTCTCCATTTCTGTTACCAACCCTCCATTTTTCTTTCTTTTTTATTTTGTCCTTTCTTTCTCTATGGACATTAGCTTCTTCTATCTCCCAGAGACCTGCGATAGTTTCATTATAAATTTTATGAGATAAAGGGTATTGGGCAATTAGTCATATGGTTTTCATTCTCTATATATTTTCTGTAAAACATATATTAACTTGAGATCTTTGTCACATAATCCAAGTTAAAGGACAGATTACTATGTAGTTTAAACATTTATATTTCTTCCACCCTTATGATAGCAGAGAAGACTTGAAAATTCCTATTTGAAATTCCTCACTCCATTATCCATTATTAAAGACTGTGCAAATTTTGATATCAATCATTTTTAAAGTGTGAAATTGAGGCTCACACTTTGATTGCCTTTGATCATATTATCTAAGTGTTCCCAGTTATACAATATTTTACATAATATTGCTTGGCTGTATTTTTTTTATCATAGTGATTGCTCTTTCTTTGTATTGAAATAGTTATTAATTCTGCAAACTGTAATACTTTAAATGTTTGTAGAGTGCATTATATATTAAGGAATTATGATCAATAATATATCTTTCAATTGGAAATATTATATGAATGGCATGAGAACTTATTGTCCTTGGATGTTTATAAGATATTTTTTCATAATATAATCATTAAAAGTTAAAAGTTTTTCTTTAAACAATAATGTAAGTTATTTTCAGAGGAAATGAGATTTAGAAATAAATTTAAAGTTTTTAATAGAATTCATATGACTCCTCCTACAAATACAATTAGGGACAGATGGGTGCTTTTACTCTATGCCTTTTCACCATGTTTTAAGTACATGTCCCTTATAATAACGAATGTTAACATTTTATTCCAAAAGTCCAGAAGATGAATTACTGATACTGTTTATTTCAGAAGAAGTATTACTTGACAACTTCAATGTTTACATGTCCATTCTTAGTTCCTACTGCACCAAGTGTTTGAGGAATGTAAAAAACAACATTGTCCTTATTGGTGAATTGTCTTTGAAATTTGTTCCAGTTCTCAGAATTATGCATCAGTTTGAGCCACAAGGAAAACTTTAAACATTTTTAAATTTTGTCCTCCTTCTTTGCTGACATTATGCTTTCATTTTCAATGAAGTGGTAATTTATTCCTTAACTTTTATTAATCATATACCTTTGAAGTATTGGCATTTTACAGTGCGGCTGAAGTGTAAGTGTTCAATTCATGCTTAGGTCATTTGATTTAGAACACTCCTCACTAACATTTAATACTTCATATTCCTTCCTCCTACGTGTTAAGGTGGCTCCATAGGCATGTGATAAAGTGGAAATCCACACAAAGCAAGCACGTACTCACTGGTTGAGGAAATGTTGTGCCTGGAGGTACCAGGAACCTACACTTGGATTTTCTCTAGAAGAAGTGGTTTAAGATCTTTTAATTTTATAACTACTTTATACACCATAATACTCAATAGTAAGAAACACCTACACATATTCAATACATTAACGAAAATACATTAAATCTAACAATGAAATGATAATAAAATAAATTCTGTCAAAGGAATCAATAAGATTTTTAAAAGGTAGCCACCAAAATTATTATTCCTGAAATAATTTTTCAATTGAATACATTTATTTGAGACCCACAGGCTATATGTGTATCTGCATCTTGATAGTTTTTAGATATACATTTTAAAAAATTTCAATTTTTTAATGACACATTTTAATTTTGGCAAACTGCAATTTCTAATAGACACTTGTAGACGGATTTTATATGACAGAAAATGATCAGATATATATCAGCTCTCCATTTTTCATGTGAAACATAAGATACAGAAAACAATTATATGGAACAAAGTCATTGGGTCCTTGCCCATCCTTCACAGAGAAGCTAAATTCTGAAGAAAAAAAAAAGAAAAAAAGGTTTATTCATCAGGCAGACAGATGAGGAGACTGGACACAAAAGTCAGATCAATTTCCCAAATAAAAACTTAAAGCAAATTTAAGGAATAAGGGTGAGAAGGAGGTTATATATATTGATTAACTCTGATTTAGGAGTTTTATTGCATAGTCTTGGAACTAAACCATGCAAGTAAGGAATGTGAAAGAGCAAGAGGGAACAAGTAAATTCCAATCTGGAAGAGTTTGATTGGTCAGTCCTAGGTGTGTCCACATTTGCTCTGGACACCAGATCTTCCTTAGTGACTGACTGACCTCTCGCTTTTTAAAGGGCTCTAGGTGACAACAGGATTTCTGTTGCTTGAGTACTGTGAATCTAGGTTTTGTTGTGCTCTTGAGGTCAGCTTATGGTGGTTGGGTCATCTATGCTGCTCAAGCTTCTGAGACCAGTGTGATGGGCTTGGTTTGGTGGTTTCCTGAACACTGTGAAGAGGCCTGCTGTTATCTTCTAAAACACACACACACACACACACACACACACACACACACACACACACCAGAGGGAAAAAGCTTTAAGGTGTTTCCCAATTCCCCTAGGATATCACCAAATATTTCTTCTACAACAGAAATATAATTCATGGAACTTGAACATTCCCCATGTAATGGCATTTCTTCAATGATGTAATATTTATTGCAAAGGGATATAATTCAGTAATATGTTGATGTAATGTCTGTAGCAGGCTTTATGTGACTAATGCTAAAGGTATAGTTGTAAACAAACAGATGCCCTTATTCTAATTTTCTCATCCTTTTCCAGTAAATCTTTTGTCTATGAGTATGTGTTTTCTATTTATTCTGAAAAAGGTAGAAGGCCCATTGTAGAACTAATGAAGGACACATCCTCTCCCCACCCCAGAGGGAGTGAGTGGTATTTGAGCATCTTGCAAGGTGTCATTTCCAGCTTAGCCTCTTTGGCACCAGGCAGTGTATGGAAGTTTAAAAAGCTTCTGCTGAATGGTGACATTTCCTCTGAACTTTGTGGTTTCAATTCTAAGAAATGTGTGTCATTTATGCCCCAGAGAAACTATGGTAATTTTTGAAAATTGTGTCCTTTATTCTTGTTGTAATTGGGCCCTTATTTTAAATTAAATTTTTATTATATAAAAATTAAGAAAAGGTAAGTTCTATTAATGTATCTTCCTTATTCCTAATCATGGCTTCATTCTTTACATGTACTTTTTTCTTTAACTTCCAAAGATCATCATCCTCAACCTTAAATACACATTTTGCACGATTTTCTCTTTAATCTTTCCAACTTTGCCATTTTCATTAGCTATTCAAATATGCCTCATGGTTCCTTCTTTGATTTGTCTGGTTGTTGTATCTGTGCAGTTATTCCTTTTGAACCAGGTAAATTTTATTAATCATGAACCTTTTAAATAAAGACATATTCAATATGGTTGATGTGAAAAATTATTTAAGATATTCTTGGATTGTTTTATTTACGCCAAATCACTGCCATTTATTAATTCATTTTCCTTACTTTCATAAAATATAATTAGGAAGAACTTCGTTTAGACGTTACTTGTAATAGAAGTTTACACAATGCAAGCTTAAACATTCACTGGTTGATGACAATGTTGTGAAGGTTACCCTGTGGTACCTCTAGAAGATTCTCTTATAGTAGAACTAGTAGTACCAGAGAAGAGTCTCTAATTGAAGTTTGTGGCTACTTTCTAACACATAGCTGCTTAAAAAAATAAAATTGGCTATACCCATTTACTTATTATTTTTTCCATTTTTTTTCTTTTTTAAAATCTTTATTATTGAAAGTATTACATATGCCCCCTTTTTACCACATTGACCCCTTCTAGACAGCCCCCGACCCCCACCCCAGGCCTTGACCACCCTATTGTCTGTGTCCATGTGTTATGCAATATGCATACAAGTTCTTTGGTTGATTACTTCACACCCACCCACCCTCCCACGCCTTCCCTCTGAGATTCTGCAGTCTGTTCCATGCCTCCACGTGTCGGGATCCACTCCATTCATCAGTTTATTTTTTTTATTAGATTCCACATATGAGTGAGGTCCACATATGATACTTGTCTTTCTCTGATGGGCTTATTTCACTTAGTATAATAGTCTCCAGGCCCCTACATGCTGTCTCAAAGGGCTATTTATTAAAAACCAAAGAACTTATTAAATCTTATACACTGAACAATAATATTCTAACTAATGTAAAAGACAAAAGGAATAATTTAAGAGGTAAACATAAGACCTAATATTCCTAAACTTCTCTCTAATGTAATAAAATTAATCATTATGCCCATATTCATTTTGGGGAGAATACTCTCTGGTCAAAACTGATTTCAAACATTATATTTTGCAGTTATGTGTATGATTGTATGTCTGCCTACATGCAATTGTGTATGTGTGTGTGTGCATTATGTACACCCTGATAGTTCTAAATATACATTTTGCATTAAATTTGCATCTTATTTCTATATATTTAATACTTACACTAATTTCTTTCTCTCTTTTTTCAGCAGAATTCAAGGCAAGAGATGGTAAATTTTTTGTCAACCCATTCTCTCAATCCTTTTAAAATGACTGGTTTCTCTTTGCTCTAACCTTTCTTGCTTTTCAATCTATATGCCACCCATTGACTCACAATTCTCCTGGATGTCTATGCTTCTGACTTCCAAAAATCGTTTCTGGACTTCTCCCACATTAAGTCTCTCCATTTGAATTTGCCAACCTTCCAACATTCATATTCCTTCTTTTCCATTTCCTTACAATTTCTCACTATCAGCGTTGGCTTTTATGTTTTCCAGAGACTGGCCATGGTTTAATTAAGGTGAGATGAAGGGCTTTAGGTTGATAGGCACAAGGTC